AACTAAAAACTGAACCAAAATTAAATATAAGAGTTGCTAAAATTTGTAAATAAATCAAATAAAGTTTCTGTTCAGAATGTGGAGAGAAGTCATCAGGGCACACAGCATTATAAAGCTGTGTGTCATCAGCATTCAGCAGCTTTGAAAATTGATGCTATGTTTCATGATGGCATTAGTGGAAGCACGTACGGAATAAAAAGGATGGGGCTTAAAATGGATCCTTGTGGAACTCCWYATTTAAACATCTATTGCTTAGATTAAAAAAACTATATTTACAAAGATTATAGGTATGTTAGTTAGGATAAGTGAGTTCTATGTATGAATAATTGCAACACTTTACACCAGGTTCTGTATTTTTGTTTTTTTATTGACTTTACATTTCTTACAAGTAGTCATGAATATATCTGAACCACATTGTATCGCAAAATGACAGTTTTTTAGTAATTGTAAAAAGGTTATAGACACTGAGACGTATTCTATAGCAAAAGAGATGATCAAACTTCTCAGTGGAAATAATCAGACTTTATTTTACATTTCAACAGTTTTACAGATGCTTTGTGGCCTTCATAAAATGCAACAAAGAACCACACCCTGTTCAAGGAGAGGAGCACCCAGCTCCAAAACCACAGCTGTCAGATGCCTTCCCCATTCGCAGACAAGCCTCCTCCAGCTCCTCACAGCCTCATTTCCTCAGCAGCAGCAGAAACAGCASGCCCTGCAGCCGCCACAAGGACAGAAACGTCCTGTTTGTCCACTACACACCATAAAAACKTCAGCTTTATTCGGACCAGAAGATGTCTTCTTGGTTGTCTGGAGTCTAAAGCGTAACTAAAAWAAATATTTRTTTGCATTTTTTTTCCTCCAAAGATTTTCCCTTAATGTTTTGGCAGATTACTGTTATCTTTTGTTAAAAACTTTAATGCAAACCAAAGCTTGGTTCTGCTTTAAAGCGCATCCATTTTCAGACGTTTTTGACTGAAAGTGAATCCGTCCTGCAGAAATGTTARATTCAGCAGTTGAAGCTGCTCTTTAAAAAAGAACAAAAGGCTGCAGGACCGACCAAACTTAAGACAGCTGCAATAAGTTTCCTCAAATACAAATATATTTTTACGTTTATTTAATTGAATTTTTTTATATTTTTGTCCTAAACTGTTAAGCACTCTGTGCAACTCCTAACAAAACAAAGCACATTCAACTGTGTGTGTGTGTGTGTGTGTGTGTGTGTGTGTGTGTGTGTGTGTGTGTGTGTGTGTGTGTGTGTGTGTGTGTGTGTGTAAAAAATAAAATAACTACTTCATTAGAAAATGGGTTTGCAGCAATTCAAATAAAATTCCAGCCTCATTTTCCTAGTTCTGTTGTCTTTTGGTCTCAAGGTTTTTGTTTTCTAAATGCAACTCTCTGCAGCAGTTAAAAACGTAACCACATTAAGAACTTTCGCTTTAGCCTGACTTTTGCCACCACAGCCAAGCATAATACCTTCTGTGGTAAAAGTGAAACCAGCCAAGACCAAGGAGTAGTTATCTACAGAAACAAACTTATTTGCATTCAGCAAACTTGCAACAAAACTTGAGAAATCTGAAGCTTAGTCATCGCATTTTGTCATCCACTTAAACTAAATAATGCCAAATGTCAAATAAAGGTGTAAAAYGTGTGGTGGTGTGCCAGTTTTTATTTTGAGTTTTATCAGGAAACCCTTTTCATTTTTGTGGAATTTTCTTTGATGTACTCGACATTCTAAATGAATAAAAATGCTCACAACTCTAAAAACTTAGAAAAAAAAAACCCACCATTGCAACTGCAACATTTTGGTCTAGTCTATGCATCGGTTTTGAGACCTGCCCCAGGAAACAACAGGTCAGTGTATAAATAACTTATTTTGTTGAGCAGTGGTTTTACTGTGAAGCACAAAGCAAGACCTGAACTGTGCAGACAGGGTGGTTGATGCCTCTCATCAACCATCCTTGAACCCTTTGGTGAACACTCAAGGTGCAGAGGCCATCAAGAGAAAGGAGGAGTCCTATTGAGCCTAGACTAGGACTCCAGAGGCAGCTGAAGGGAATTGGTGTTCTGGCTGTTGCTGAAGCAAAGGCTCAGATACGGGAGAATTTCGGCGAGGCCTCGGATRGACTCTAAATAAGCTTCAAGAAGATCCTGTCAAACTGTCAGGTGGCTGAGGCAGGGTGCTGTTGACCTCAACTAGCGATACTGTCAGGCAGTGGAAGCAATACTTCAAGGATCGTCTCAATCCCACCGGCAGGTCTTCTGTAGAAGAAGCTGAAGTTTTGGGGTGGGTCCATCTATAACCTGGGCTGAGGTCGCCGAGGTGCAGGGCTCCGAAGGTGGACAAGATCCGCCCAGAGTTCCTTGAGTCTCTGGATGATGTTGGGTCATCTTGGTTAACACATTTGCAAACTCTCGTATATGTCAGGGAAGTGCCACAAAACTGGCAGACCGTGATGTTGTTCCAAAATCTGAGGAACCACACTCCTGAGCCTCCCCAGTAAGGTACAGGTGCTGGTCATAAAATTAGAATATCATGAAAAAGTAGATTTATTTCAGTAATTCCATTTAAAAAGTGAAACTTGTATATTATATTCATACATTACATACAAACTCATATTTC